TTTCAGGATTGCTGGCGAAACCCTGAATTTTCTCAGCTGTCGCAGATGGTACAGTCTTTGCCTGGCATTATTAACCTGAGTTTGGATGTGTGAAGTCCAAGTCAGGTCCTCGGAGATCTGGAGAAGTGGGCGGGCAGTATGCTAATGTTTCAGACCAACGCGAAAAGACCAACAAGTGGGCGGGCAGTATGCTAATGTTTCATGTTGACCTCAACATGAAACGGCTTGGGATTCGTTTTAAAAACACTTTAAATATCGAATGACAAGGACTGACTGAATTGACCAAACTCATTTTGATGTTTAATAGTTATCCTGTTTTATCAAAGTATATTCAGTGAATAGGGTAAAAAATCATTTTGTCGAAAAAGAAAAGAAAAGAAAAAAAACTGTTTTCAGCAACAGTAAATCAATCACAATGAAAAAAAAAAGGAAATTGTTACAATTGTTACAGTTGTTACATTTATTATAATTTTCAGAAATTTCAAGTGAATTTCAAAATTATCTATAAAGAAATGGCAGCAAACACATTGCATTCAACATGAAATTTTGAAAAAAAAGTATTTTCTTTTAAAACGTACACCAATATTCTGTTTTATTTATGACTTTTTATGTTTTATACAGTGCATTCAATAGATTTTGTACAACCAGTAGCTTTTGCTACTTGCAATGCAATAAAATTTAGTATGCTCACTTTTTCTTTTATATATTTGAATGTGTACAGGTCAGAATAAGTATGTTGTTTAAATTGTTTACATAAATATAACTGTTACACTGAATGACAATGGAACAACATTTTATTCTCCCAAAACTTTTTTGAAACCTTAAAAGTAGACACTTTACTTGCATTTAATCAATGTGCTTACTATGTATATAAAATCACTTTTGTAAAATTTCTTTTGATGCAGACATTTTATATATGTTTATGCATGTTTATGTAAGCACACAAATATTGGAAATGGAGAATATACTTTACTTTTTTAATCAGTTTACTTGCCATCATTTACCGCCAACATTTTTTTCTCAACTGCGTAGATGCTAAAATCCATTTTATAACCAACTATTTTTCTTTCTTTTCTTTTTTTCAGAGGGGAACGTAACTTCCACATCTTCTATTATATCTATGCCGGTCTGGCTGAGAGGAAGAAACTCGGCCACTACAAGCTGTCAGACAGCAAAACTCCAAAGTAAGTTCTTGAGCACCTGATAACAGCCTGCTGTTTTTATCTGGATGCACATCTGACATGCTTATTTCTGTTTTGTACTCTTTGTTTTTCTCAATTCCAGGTATCTCCACAATGAGAATGTGAAATTAGTGCCTGACATTGTGGGCAATGCCTTCTATAAGGAGCAGTTTGAGACAGTAGAGCAGTGCTTCAAAGTTATCGGCTTCACCCTAGAGGTACACAAACCTATCGCAATAAAGTGTTTACAATCTTAAACAAAGGTTCAATACTATAGTGATTTTTTTTGCTGCTTTATTTTTAATCACATTTTCAATAATAAGTGTCACTTAGAACATTTATTTACTTTTTACATAATTCGAGTTCTTATATTGGAGGTGATAGCACTGACTTTCATTATACTAAAATGCAAATGTTGTTTCTTTTGGAGAAGGGGATAAAATGTCATTTGATTACTAAATAATGAGGTGTAATAGACAAGCGGACCGTGAGAACAGCCTGCCAGTGCTCTGAATGCTGGCGATGGCCTGTGTGGAGGGTTATGTAGAAGTTGTGACTCAGTGCTCTAATGCCATCAGTCTCCACAATTACCATCAGGTGAATCAGTGATGCATGCTGGAATACATTACCAGTGCCCATTTTGTCTGGAAGGCCACATCCAAGCTTATCAGTGAAATAAGATATCAGATATCCCAAGATCATGAAACAGTCACAATAGAGCGCAATGTCAGGTTCTGGAAGTAACCCGAATCATTTTCTTAATAGAGAAATTTATTTTTAACATTTCGATGTCGATGCACCATGAATAATATTTTGTAGAAGGTACAAATAAGAAATTATGTTTAATAGCCCATTTTTTGTAAATGTACCAAGCGTGTCAAATATTTGTATTAAATATATGAAGAATCAGAAGAAACTGAGATAGACTAAATCCAGAAGAATTTTGGCAACATCTCCAAGATGCTCCAAGAAACCTACCTGCAAAGCTACAGTACTGTTAAACGTTTTAGGCACTTGTGTAAAAATGCTGTAAATTAATGGCAAAATGAATGTTTGGAAATGTAAACGAAATATTTCCTACCGACACACTACAGCAAAAGATAGAAATAACTGACTTTTAGTTGGTGAAAATACTAGTGTTCTGATAATTTTGGCCACCACTGTGTGTGTGTGTGTGTGTATATATATATATATATATGTGTGTGTGTATGTGTGTGTGTGTGTGCGCGCGCGCGTTTTTGTGACATATGAGGACACAAATTTGTATAATGACATGGGTATGACATAGGTATTACAAGGAGAAGGAAGGTTATGAGGACATTTATAAAAACCATTACGCCTATGGAATGTCCCCACAATTCACAAAAAACAAACCTTTGTGTGTGTGTGTGTGTGTGTGTGTGTGTATTAGAAAATGTTACAGTAAATCTAAAATATGTTGTTTTAATGCTTTTTGTCAGCATTAATCTCAGCTCTTGTAAAAAGACGTGCTTAAAGGAACAGTTCACCCAAAAATGATAAGATAATATCAGTTCTTTGGACTCTCATTCTGACGGCACCCATTCACTGCAGAGGACCCATTGTCCGCTGGTGAGCAAGTGACGAAATGCTACATTTCCCCAAATGTGTTCCAATGAAGAAACAAATGCACCTACATCTTGAATGGCTCATTTTCATTTTTGGGTGAACTATTCCTCAAATTAGAATCGAAGATGTAGTGTATTTCTAATCTTACAAAAAAAAGCCTGATAATATCATATTAATGAAATAAAAAGCCCCATAGGTGTTCTTAAAGTGAGTACACTTTCATCACTAATTTTCACTATTACATTACATTTAAAAAGGTATATTATTTTCATAATAAATATTCCTTTTAATAGAATGCTAAGGTGTGCTAAGAACCTTATTTCTGGAATCACTAAAGAAGCGGACGGTCACTGTTGTGCTTTCTACCACTGAAATACCACCAGGCCAACATCTAAATCTTCTTGGAGAACTTACTCTGTCTCTGTAATGTCAGTTTAGTTTTCTGTTTCTCCAGGGAGACATGAGTAATCACAGGCCTGTGAGTGACATGGCTTTGACATTACGAAGCACTGTATTCTTTAGGGAGTCCATATAATCGAATAGACAGACGTGTCAGTGTGCCACTAGATATTAGCTGCTATGCTACATTCACAGAAATATGTAGCAGATTCATTCCTCTGGCCTGGGATGTTTAAACATAGATGTGATGTCATGTAATAAATCATGTTATTCATGCCTGGCATCTCTTTTGTGGAATGTTTAACTTAATGCATTTTGTTTATCTATTAATACGAACTGTGGTAAATTTTTTTGTCATAATCTTATTAGGAGCTCGGGAGTGTTTACAGTATCTTAGCTGGGATCCTAAATGCAGGAGATGTCGAGTTCACGTCAGTCGCTTCCGAACATCAGATGGACAAAAGCAACATTTCCAACATGGCAGTACTAGAGAGTGGTAAGAACTGTCCCATATTCCAGGTTTTCAAGTCTGACCTTTCACTCTGTACTTTGTGTGTTTATGTAATTCTGAAGAGCTGCTAGAAACCCTAAGTAAACCCCTATTTGCATCCCTTTAGAAAAAATCTCCACAAACAAGCCTAAGGTGGCTTGTTGCTCTTAGCTGATTTAATAGATTTAGAGGGGTTTAGGGCAATTTTCACCAGCTTATCCAGACCAGCTTATCAAACACAAAATGGCAAACCACATTTTATTATTTTACAGTAAGTTTAAGAGTAATGGGTACTATTCAATATTAAATAGTATGCCATTGTAGGGTTTTAGTGCATCTGTAATTATACTGTGATGATTTCATAACGTGTCTAGGCTAATATTGCCCACAAACCCTTGCAGAAGGTGTTCACGTGGTTCACCATTGATGTTTCTGTTGCAGAAAAAAAGCAGACAGCAGTTTTAAATGCATGAACCTAAAAGTGTACTATAATTAGAAAAATGCACAATTACTGATTAGTGTAAATATGTACAAATATGTAAGTTGGGATATACACTACCGTTCAAAAGTTTGAGTTCAGTAAAACGTTTTTTGTTTTTTAAAGAAGTTTCTTATGTTCATCAAGGCTGCATCTATTAGATCAAAATTACAGGAAAAAAAACATTATTTTGTGAAATATTATTGCAATTTAAAATAACAGTTTTATATTTTAATATCCTTTAAAATATAATGTATTCCTGTGATCAAATTTGAATTTTCAGCATCATTACTCCAGTCTTCAGTGTCATATGATTCTTCAGAAATCATTCTAATATGCTGATTTATAATCAATGTTGGAAACAGTTGTGCTGCTTAATATTTTTTTGGGACCTGTGATAACTATTTTTCAGGATTCTTTGATAAATAAATAGTTAAAAAGAACAGTGTTTATGCAAACTAGAACTTTTGTGTTACAATATACACTACTATTCAAAAGTTTGGGGTCCGTACATTTTTTTAAATAAAGAAATCAATACTTTTATTCAGCAAGGATGCTTTAAATGGACAAAAAGTGATAGTAGAGACTTATATTGTTAGAAAAAAAAAATAATTTTATTCATCAAAGAATCAAAGAAAAAAGTATCATAGCTTCCAAAAACATACAAAGCAGCACAACAGTTTCAACATTGATAATAAATCAGCATATTAGATTGATTTCTGAAGAATCATGTGACACTGAAGACTGGAGTGATGGCAGATGAAAATTCAGCGCTGCGTCACAGAAATAAATTATATTTTAATGTATATTAAAATAGGAAACCAATATTAGAAATTGCAATAATATTTTACAATATTACTGTTTTTTTTTCTGTATTTTTGTACAAATAAATACAGCCTTGATCAGCATAAGAGCCTCCATTAAAAAAACAACATTAAAAATCTTACTGATCCCAGACTTTTGAACGGCACTGTATATAGCAAACAAATTTCCTAGGGTTTTAAATGAATGAAACCCTCTGCTAAAGCTAACTGTATGTAGAAGAAGTGAATTTCTTGCAGTATTACTTTAGTTTATATTAATAAACTAAAGTAATAGTTTGGTTTATTAATATAAACTAAAGTAATACTGCAAGAAATTCACTTCTTCTACATACAGTTAGTTTAAATTAATATATTTCATTAGTTTTTATTAACATATTTAATTAGTGTTTATTTTTATGTTCTCTGTTTATATTTTAGTTCAAATTTTAGTAATTTTGTAGTGTGTTTGTCATTTTTATTAGTTTTTGTAATATGTCTATATACTGTAGTTTTTATTCATTTTTTGTTCTATTTTAAGTACATCAGGTTAAACTAGATGAAAATGAGAAATGTTGTCTTGGCAATTTGCTGATGTTAAACGAATTTTATTTAATTGTATCACTTAGGTTGTTTGTATTTTATTCTAAGTTTGCTGTTGATGTTGTTTTCTTTCTATGGTTTTAGTTTTAGTTAACTGTATAACCCTAGTTTGTGGTTTACCATTTTTTTGTAATTTTACCATCATTTTTCATGATGATAGCATGTCCCAAAACTGGGATATTGTCACGTTACATGTACTTGTAAGTATGTACCCAGTGCAACAGTACTTTTTGTACTCTGTAGAAAATCGTCATATTGTTGTTATGTTTCTATTTGTTTGTACGTTCAGCTGCATCGCTGTTGTGTATCCATGCGGATGAGCTCCAGGAAGCGCTGACCTCTCACTGTGTGGTCACACGGGGCGAAACCATCGTCAGATCAAACACAGCGGAGAAGGCCACTGAGGTACGGGACGCTATGGGCAAAGCCCTCTATGGACGCCTGTTCAGCTGGATCGTCAACCGCATCAACTCTCTCCTGAAACCAGACAACGACAACCAGTCAGGGTAAGAGAAGAGAGTGTTCTCAATCTGTGCTCAGATTTGCCACTATTTCAACAGTTGCAATCAAATTCTTTCAATGCCACAATCCAGGAGAAATACAACTTTAGAACATCTCCTTACTGACCAGAAACTAGAAAGATATACTTTCATCCTATGTGTTGATGTGTGAATGACAAAAATTTTTTAAATTCCATATCAATTTTTTTTCTTAATTCTATCCTTTCTCTCCAGGGAGGAAGACAAAGGTCTAAACATCGGTATTCTGGACATCTTTGGCTTTGAAAACTTTAAGAGGAACTCTTTTGAGCAGCTCTGCATCAACATTGCCAATGAGCAGATCCAGTTCTACTTCAACCAGCACGTCTTCGCCTGGGAACAGGTACATCCTGCCTCTGATAAAGTCATTTTATCCAGTCTTGAATTGTTTGGGAGCTTTTCTATGCCTTTTGGGAGCATTTTTAGATTTTGCATAACCTTATTTCCATCTAAATGGTGGTAACACCTCATCATTTATCGTATCACAGTGTTGTGAGAAATGGAAGGAAGGGGAGTGGAATATTCAGTTTTCTTTTGACGCAGACAAGCGTGGCAATTCCCCAGACTGACTGTAGCCTTGAGGGGGAAAGTGATTTGGTGCCTCTAAACGTTTACGGCTAACCCACATTAGTGCCTTCATAAATCATCTGAAACAAGGGTTACGTCAGAAGCCGCTGACTTTGCTTGTGCTTCTATAAGCAGACAGGAAATGCTGCTTTAGGTAAACGTGCTGATATGATGGCCACATTTCTGTGGTTAATGCATAATTTGTTAGTATTTATATGGGTAAATCTCACAAATATATTTATTAGCTAGGCAGTTGCTATGAGGGTGCTAGGGCATCAATAATAATAATAATAATTATTATTATTATTATTATTATTATTATTATTAATTATTATAACAAAATATAGTGCTTTGCAATGGCAAGCACCACTCACACCACTCACATACAAATGTATGTATAGTTTGTATTTTATATATATATATATATATATATATATAAGTATGATAATTTTACATTGAATGCACTTACTGCACCTTTTAAATTTCAGTGTAAGCTTTAATTTATAAATTAGACAAAAATGAGTGAAAGAAAGAAATAAAGAAAGAAAGTTAAGAATTTTTATGATGAGATTTTGGGAGAAAATTTAATTATTTTTTATAATCTTTACTGTATACAGTAAAAATTTTGTAATATTATTTTAGCATCATTAATGCATCTTTTAACTAATATACATAGTAATGAAATTTTGATTTTTACACTAATGAGAATGTAGGGGAAATGTAATTAAAATAATATCAAAAACAAAAGAAAAGTCCAAAAATATGCTTAATTATCTTACAATACAATTCATTAGTTAGTTAGTTAGTTGAATTTGACCCAGACGTTGCTTTTTGAGCTTTTCCTGTAAAATTCGGTTACACTTTATTTCGATAGTCCACTTTAGACATTCTATTAACTATAAGTAACTTTGTAACTACATGTCAACTACATGTCAACTAATTCTCATTAATTTGCAACTACATGTCTACTAACTCTCAGAGTAGACTGTTAGGGTAGGTTTAGGGTTAGTAGAATAAGTTGACAAAGAAAGTGTTAGAAGATATTAAGCAGACAGTCTACTAATACTTTACTAACTGCTAGTTGACATGTAGTTGCAAAGTTACTTACTGTTAATAGAATGTCTAAAGTGGACTATCGAAATAAAGTGTTACCAAATTTCTTCACAACCTATTTGTTGATGTGTGTTCTCCATATTATTATTTCTACTCCGAGCACTCAGGAGTATGTAGCCTGAAGTAAACATTGAAGAGTGTGTTTTCTGTTATTTTTTGTTGCTTCAAATCTCTGTTGTTTTTGCATCCCCGAGGCTTGTATGTCAGCAGCAGTCTTACTGTCCCCCAAAAATGAGGTTGTTCCCTGTTCGCAGGATGACTAAAAGCTCTAATCCACACCAGAGATTGGATTTCTTGGACAAGCTTCTGTATGTGTGTTGATGCGTTTCGCCAGTGAATAATTTAGGTCCATGTGTGGATTGTAATTTATCAACATGGCAGTCTAGAGACAAGACAGACATGACATTTGTGCTTTGGGTTGAGTGCTCTGCTCACAGGAAGTCATCGTGTAGCAGCAGGAATTGCCTGACACACAGTGTAGCTCAGATTTAGGAGGTTACGGAGCTCCAGGCATCAGCTAGCAGAAGTCTGCAGTGTTGTTGGAAGCTTACAAATATTAATGGATAGAAGAACAGAAGTACGTTCCCCGAGGAGAAATTCAGGTGCAAAACAATAGCAGCATCAAGCGTAAAGGTCACAGACAACATCACATTCAGAGACATAGTGCAATCAAACAAGACATTTCAAAATATGAATGCATTGTCTCATAATAAAGAGTTTTCTTTTGACATCTTATGTAGAATTTGTCTCGCATGACCAGATTTTTTACTATCAGCATGAAGTCTTGTGCACTTGCAGTTTATTCTGGCTAAAAAAACCGCCCAGTTAGACAGGAAGAGAATAACTGATTGACGTGGATAGTGACCAGTCATGGTTTATTTTGTTTTTCATGCCGTTTTAGGGGTGACAAATTAAAGAAACAGCAGTGTCCTTCTGGACCAAATTAAGAAATGTTCTCAATATTGTGTCATTTTTGTCTATTTTTCTAAATAAATACTGATAGTTTATGCATCTACACTAATGTTCCAAAATGTGGGGCCGGTAAGATTTTTTCATGTTTTTAAAAGAAGTCCCTTTCACTCACCCAGCCTGCATTTATCTAAAAATACAGTAAAAACCGTAATACTGTGGAAATATTATTACAATTTAAAATAACTGTTTTCTATTTTAATATAATTTATTCCTGTGATACAAAGCTGAATTTTCACATGAAGTGTCACATGATCATTCAGAAATCATTCTAATATGCCGATTTACTGCTAAAAAAACATTTCTTATTATTCTTATTTATTTTTTAATTTATTTTTGTAGGATTCTTTGTTGAATATAACGTTCAAAGAAATAACATTTATTTGAAATATGAATAATAATTTTAAAAACTCTTTACAGTCACTTTTGGTCAATTAATTGCATCCTTGCTGAGAGAAAAAAGCATTCATTCTTAAAATAAAATTAAATTAAATTAAATGAAATAAAGTATAAAAAAAGTAATAATAAAATAAAATAAAATAAAATAAAATAAAATAAAATAAAATAAAATAAAAACCCCACACTTTTGAATAGTATTGTATAAAACATTCAGAGATTTGATTCCAATAACCTGATTAAATCATTTGGTTGCTCTGCAGGATGAGTATCTGAACGAAGACGTGGACTCTCGAGTGATTGAATATGAAGACAACCGGCCGCTGCTGGACCTATTCCTTCAGAAGCCCATGGGCATGTTAGCGCTACTGGACGAGGAGAGTCGCTTTCCTCAGGCTACTGACCAGACCCTCGTCGGCAAGTTCCTCTCAACATCTGACCTTCTCCCTGAAACATCATAGAGCTTTTAGCTTGAGTTGTGTTCACCTAGTGTCTTATGACCAGGGACACTTACACTCTCTCTCTCACACACACACACGTACGCACAGACCCACAAGATCAAGGGAGAGGCTGTCATCAAACATTTACTGGCATGCTAAGTTTTCATCTGCTTTCTCTAGAGGACACTCTCACTGAAGTCTTTGACTGACAGCTGAATAATTCAACATGCCAACACTAGACGCCTAGCTGTTTTTCCATGACTTAGCTTTATTGCTTTATACTGAATGAAACTGATGGATTAATTCATTCATGTGTATCTCATGGTATCACGCATGGATGAATGAATTAATGAGGGTCGGGTCAGTGAACGAACAAATATATGAGCAAATGAATGCATGAACTGACATAAATGATGAATGTTTAAATCGACAAACTACGTAAATGATCAAATAATTATTGAATGAATAAACTTGTGAATGGATGAGTATGTGAATGAACTCGTAATTAACAACCAGTTGTCTTTTGTTCATTCAGAGAAATTTGAGGACAACTTAAAGTCCCAAAACTTCTGGAGACCAAAGAGGGTTGATCTGGGCTTTGGAATCCATCACTACGCAGGCAAGGTAGAAATATTATATTTATTTATGCATCTTTTTTTTTTTGCAAACATACCACAGAAACAAAGATATGAAAGAGAATTAAATGTTTTGTTTACACAAAAAAGGAAAATTCTGACATCATTCACATTTCTATAAATAAAGGATCCAAAATGGAGTTTTCACAGCAGTGTCATTAAAGAACAATTTTGGATTCCCCAAAGTTTTTATACAAACAGCTTTTTTTTTAATAGTGTGAAGAACTTCTATACTGCTGTATAGAAAATGAAAACACATTTGTTAAAATATCATCTTTTGTGTATGCAAGGGTGAGTAAATGATGCCAGAATTTTCATTTTTGGGTGAACTAACCCTCTAAGCCAAGTTCATCTGTGAGAATAATAGTCTATTAGATGCAAATACATCTTGTTTCTCGTGTGGTTAGGTGATCTATAATGCCGGCGGTTTTCTGGCTAAGAACAGAGATGCTCTGCCCGCTGATATTGTTCTTCTGCTGAGGTCCTCAGAGAATGAACTGATCCGTAAACTGGTTACTCACCCGCTCACTAAAACAGGTTTGCTTTGACTTTGCACTCTTTAGAAACATTTAAAGCCTTTGGTATGTCTGCTGTTTAGATGCTTCATTTTCTGTCCTTTTTTTATACAGATATAATTATTTTATGTTGCTAAAGAACCCACAAATCCACACACATTCATCTAGACATGCGCTTATAAAGCTTTTGGTGTGTGTGTTTCATTTGTCCTCTCTGTATGTGACAGATTTTCTAAACAGTGACCTCTAACAATGTGTCAGTCAATCCAATCATTGTGTAATTGCCTTGTGCAATTACTTTATTTTTTCCATTGTGCTGCCAGAAAAAAAAAAAGGAAACATTTTGTTGCTTTGAGTACATGCACCAGTTTCCACTACTTTAGTTGTGAATAGCAGAGTCCTGCAGTATGAATACTTTTTTAAAAATCACTAATCACAAATTTATTGCACACCAAATTTGGCAGAGAAATCACCCACAAAAGATAATTTATAGCCATTAGTGTGGCTATATAAAATATGATACAAATATAATACTAATCTAATGTAATACAAAGTATTAAAACATTAAGTGTGCAATTATTATTATTATTATAAGTAATATCATATATAACAGCCGTTTAGTTGTTTTATTTACACACCATAAAAGTTCTTTTTATCTGTGTAGCACCTTGTTTGACCAAAAATTCAATGTTTTGTTGTTATATTTTCATTTGATTATATTTTTAAATTGCTAATTGATTAAATTGTTAAAGGTTTATTAATTAATTTGTTAGACAGTATTTTTGATGTTACATTTGTATTAAAAATCGCAAAGTACAGAATCCAGAAAAAAAATAAAACAGAGTTTCCTATAAACTATCAAGACCTGTTTACATGGAACAAATGCCACATCATCTAAAGTTCATCCATACAGAAAAGTAATCGCACTTAAAAATACAACTTTACAGTTCAAACAACACTTTTTAGTATAGACAAATTTTATTAAAATGTTTAAATATTAAACCCTCCAACATGCCCCATAGACTTTTATTATAAGCACACAAACTGGGTTGCTATAACAAGGGTTGCTATAACAGTATGACACCGATGCTGTTGGTTGATTTTAGGTTATTTTTAAACCAAAATGTTCGCCTTGTGCTTCTTTACGTGACCCACTAGAGAAAGCAATACTACTGTAGTGTATTTTAGCATAGCATGAGCACCCAAATGGTAAGTATAGTCACATTCTATTAGATTACACTGCATTATAGGCCACACCACAATCTCACAGAATGGAAATGACAGTGCAAACACCATCCTGTCTGAAACGTTAAGCAGGGAGTTTGATCTATTGGTCTGAACGAATGAATGTAGCACTCTCTCTAGAAAAGAAAATGTGCTCACTCCCATGCGATCTGATGTGATGAATGGAGGTCGTCTGACTGACACAGTCGATTACGTCCTGTGAGATTCACTGGGGATTGTTTCCAGGAAGTCTGCTGGGATTTCAAACCTAGGCCTCATTCATAAGGCTTTTGTTAGCTACTTGACCATTGTGAAGCTTATTTATCTGTCACAGCACTGACCTCTAAAGACCATATATCCCAGTGCCCTTGAAATGGTTAACCTTGCAATAATTGGTTGATTATCTTTGAAGAACATGTGATCTAATCTAATGAAGTATCAACAGCAGATCTCTAATGTGTTTGGTTATCGCAGTAAAAGCAGGTATTTGCCCTGACTTCTCTCTTTGTGCAGGTAACCTGGCTCACACTAAAGGCAAGGCTGCGGGATCTGCTCGTATGGGCACACAACAATCACAAGGCACCATTAACTTTGCCAAGGTACCTCATTTTGACCTCTTCTCCTCTCTGTACTATAGAGCTCCTAAAGGGACATGGTGATGTTAAAAAAAAAATGAGATGGAAGGAAAATTATATTTCAATGTATTTCCATTCGCTCACAAAACCATTGCATTCACCTGCAAAACTTAGTAAAATTAGGTGTTAGGAAAAACATTAAAATTCACAAAATTCTGTGCTTTTGTGAGCAAAAACACAATGTTTCTACGGGGAACACTGCTTTGCTAGAGAATTTAAATGTTTAATAAGCAAATGCAAAGTTTCTCAGGGAAGGCAATAGTTTTGCTAGAAAACGCAAATGTTTTGGTGTGAATGCAACATTTCTCGGGAAACGCAATAGTTTTGTAAGAGATCGCAAATGTTTTGTAAGTGAACGCAAAGTTTCTTGGAGGAACAGTAGTTTTGCAAAAGATTGCAAATGTTTTGGAGTGAATGCAAAGTTTTTTGGGAAAGCAATAGCTGCGAAAAATGCAAAAAATGTTTTGCGAGCGCACAGAAAGTTTCTCAGGGGAACGCAGTAGTTTTGCAAGAGGTTGCAAATGTTTTGCGAGAGATCGCAAATGTTTTGTGAGCGAACGCAACGTTTTAAAGGGGAATGCAATAGCTTTTCAAGAGAATTTAAATGTTTTGTAGCAAGTGCAAAGTTTCTCGGGGGAACGCAGTAGTTTTGTGAGAGATTGCAAATGTTTTGTGAGCAAATGCAAAGTTTCTCGGGGAAACGCAGTAGTTTTGCTAGAGATCGCAAATGTTTTGTGGGTGAATGCAAAGTTTCTTGGAGGAACAATAGTTTTGCAAGAGATTGTAAATGTTTTGGAGTGAATACAGTGTTTCTCTGGGAAACGCAAAAGTTTTGTAAGAGATGGCAAATGTTTTGGAGCAAACGCAGTGTTTTTCAGGGGAACAATAGTTTTGCGAAAGATTGCAAACGGTTGCGAGCGAATGTAAATGTTTTGTGAGTGAATGCAACATTTCTTGGGGAAACACAGTAGTTTTGCAAGAGATCGCAAATGTTTTGTGAGTGAACGCAACGTTTCTCTGGGAAACGCAATAGTTTTGCGAGAGATTGCAAATGTTTTGCGAGCTAATGCAAAGTTTTTTTGGAATGCAATAGCTGTGCGATAAATTGCAAAAGTTTTGTAAGAGATGGCAAATGTTTTGGAGCAAACGCAGTGTTTTTCAGGGGAACAATAGTTTTGCGAAAGATTGCAAACGGTTGCAAGCGAATGTAAATGTTTTGTGAGTGAATGCAACATTTCTTGGGGAAACAGTAGTTTTGCAAGAGATCGCAAATGTTTTGTGAGTGAACGCAACGTTTCTCTGGGAAACGCAATAGTTTTGCGAGAGATTGCAAATGTTTTGCGAGCTAATGCAAAGTTTTTTTGGAATGCAATAGCTGTGCGATAAATTGCAAATGTTTTGCGAGCGAACAAAGTTTCTCAGGGGAACGCAGTAGTTTTGCGAGAGATTGCAAATGTTTTGCGAGAGATCACAAATGTTTTGTGAGCGAACGCAATGTTTCTCTGGGAAACGCAATAGTTTTGTAAGAGATAGCAAATGTTTTGGAGCAAAGGCAGTGTTTTTCAGGGGAACACAATAGTTTTGCGAGAGATTGCAAACGGTTGCGAGCGAATGTAAATGTTTTGTGAATGAACGCAACATTTCTTGGGGAAACACAATAGTTTTGCAAGAGATCGCAAATGTTTTGTGAGCGAACGCAACATTTTAAAGGTGAATGTAATAGCTTTTCAAGAGAATTTAAATGTTTTGTAGCAAGTGCAAAGTTTCTCGGGAGAACGCAGTAGTTTTGCGAGAGATTGCAAATGTTTTGCAAGAGATCACAAATGTTTTGTGGGTGAATGCAAAGTTTCTTGGAGGAGCAATAGTTTTGCAAGAGATTGCAAATGTTTTGGAGTGAATGCAACGTTTCTCTGGGAAACGCAAAAGTTTTGTAAGAGATGGCAAATGTTTTGGACAGTAGTTTTGTGAGAGATTGCAAATGTTTTGTGAGCAAATGCAAAGTTTCTCGGGGAAACGCAGTAGTTTTGCTAGAGATCGCAAATGTTTTGTGGGTGAATGCAAAGTTTCTTGGAGGAACAATAGTTTTGCAAGAGATTGTAAATGTTTTGGAGTGAATACAGTGTTTCTCTGGGAAACGCAAAAGTTTTGTAAGAGATGGCAAATGTTTTGGAGCAAACGCAGTGTTTTTCAGGGGAACAATAGTTTTGCGAAAGATTGCAAACGGTTGCGAGCAAATGTAAATGTTTTGTTAGTGAATGCAACATTTCTTGGGGAAACAATAGTTTTGCAAGAGATCGCAAATGTTTTGCAAGAGATCGCAAATGTTTTGCGAGCGAATGCAAATTTTTTGGGGGAATGCAATAGCTGTGTGATTGCAAATGTTTTGCGAGAGAACAGAAAGTTTCTCAAGGGAACGCAGTAGTTTTGCGAGAGGTTGCAAATGTTTTGCGAGAGGTTGCAAATGTTTTGCGAGAGGTTGCAAATGTTTTGTGAGCGAACACAATGTTTTAAAGGGGACACGCAGTAGTTTTGCTAGAGATA